AACCCACACAAAACTATGGATGCCAGCCATGAAAGCCTACGACTTCACTTTGTGTTTGTTGGATGACTGACTTGAGGTGTCAATGCAATACAGATTTTGGATCTTTATAAAATTAAAGCCAACATAGCTTGTTGTTTTGTTGTTGTTGTTGTATGCCTTCAAGTAATTTCTGACTTATGGCAACCCTACAGCGAATCTATTATGGGGTTTTCTTGGTGAGATTTGTTCAGAAGAAGTTTACCATTGCCTTCCCCTGAGGCTGAGAGTGTGTGACTTGCCCAAGGTCACCCAGTGGGTTTCATGGCTGAGCTGAGAATCGAACCCTGGTCTCCAGAGTTGTAGTCCAACACTCAAACCACTACACCATACTAGCCCTATTCAACATGGCTATCTCATAAATTTCCACTCAGAAAACAGTTATTTATTTAGTTTGTTATTATTTAATCCTTAGTGTCAGGAATGAGAATAAGTGCTTGGGGAGTTTCTGCCTCATGTACCATAAAAAATTGGTTGGTGGTGAGTACTGTGCAGCTCAGCATGGGTGAAAGGGGACTGCTCTGCCTCAGTTAGGCAACAACATATTTTTGAGCTTGAAAGGGTGGGTAGGTGGGAATAACCAGACTTCCCATCTGTCTTGCTTTGTTCATTATTTATGCCTGTCTCAAAGAGTGCGGGTTCTGCACATTTTCTGCCAACGTCGTCATCATGCGGATCACACATGACAGCAGATGTGGTGAAACAGCATTGAGACCTAGAAAGCTTTGAAAAGGCAAGGTGTAAAAGCCACCAAGAAATCTGAAATTAGAATAAATAATTATTGGATAAAATGGAAAAACCCCTCTGAACAAATCTTGCCAAGATAACACTATGATAGGATTGCCTTAGGACTGCCATAAGTCTAAAATGACTTGAAGGCATATAACAACAACAATAATGGTTAAATCTTCTCTGCAGAGCATTACTGTTATTATTATGTGGGGGTGACTTTGAGTTTTGTTGGACTACAGCTCACAGGATCCCACAGTCTTCATATCTAAGGAAGCCTAGATTTGTAGCCAGGAGACTGATCATACATCAATGGAAATTTCCATATTACCCCAGAGTTGACACAAAGACATTCAGATCTGGTTTGGGAACTATGAAGTTTGAGAGATGATGTGCTCATGTGCTGGGAGTGTATCAAAATCAGCGGTTTTTGGAGAGAAATGTAAACTGAAAAAATGTGAACCAACCAACTAACTTGAAACCAGATCTTCCACTTTATTTTTCAAGTACAAAATTTAGAATTGACCGACAAAGATCTTATCACTTTTTTGTTACTAGTAGTCTTTGAATAATTGATATCACCATGTTCAGTACCTATTATTTATTAATTTTGTTTAATTTCTATGTCCACTTTCTCCCAGAAAGGGACCCAAGGCATCTCACAAGATTAAAAACAAAAACAAAACTAGTGCTTTCAGAAAAATTAAAACTTGGCAACTTGGTTTATTCTAATTTATTATGCAAACCATGAATAAGATAATATTCGTCACTCTCCCATGTGACGCGGACAATCTGAAGAAATGTTTTTAAATAATTATGGACTCAATCCCTCTTTTATGGAATTACTAAATAATGATCTAATTATTTTGTCATAGTGTACCACTCAAGTTTGTATTGTTAAATTGTCTTTATATTGTGTTTATCTAAAAAATAAAATAAAATGCAAATCTTAAGTTGGGCAAGTCACTTGGGCAAAGTGATCTCAGGCTCAGGGGAAGGTAACGGCAAACCTCTGAATAAATCTTGCCAACAAAACTCCATTAGAGGGTCACCTTAGGGTCACCATTAGTCAGAAACAACTTGAAGGTACACAGCAACAATAGTTTAAAGTTGCCTCCTCCAAAAGAAACCAGGCATATGTGCTGATCCAATGTAACTTTTCAGTGTTCAGAGAAGTTGTGATTTGTCCCCAACATCTGGTATTTTGTATGCAAAGTGATCTTGTAGCACCTTTTGACACCTGGGTCCAAAACACACTGCAGAAATAATCTAGTTTGAGACTGCTTTAACTGCCCTGGTTCAGTGCTAGGGAATCCTGGGGACTGTAGTTTGTTGTGGCACCACAGCGCTCTGACAGAGAAGGCTAAATGTCTCACAAAACTGGAGTTTCCAGAATTCCCTAGCATTGAGCCAGGACAGTTAAAGCAGTCTTAAACAGGATTATTTCTGCAATGTGTTTTTGACCTAACTGAAAGAAATAAGTTGTTAGCATGAGCTTTTGTACACTTGATCCTACCTCATCAGATGCATATTTATTGTGGTATTCTGTTACACTGCTTCTGTCATTGCAGGTTCCATTCAACCACCTTGACTACTAGCCGTCAATAGGTTTGTCCTCCATTCGTCCCAATTAACCCAGGTATGAAAGAGCTGAGTTTTTGTCCCCGTGTTAGGCACAGCTCATCTTCAACTATGATGCCATCACACTGGAAGTAATTTGATATATCTATGAGCCACAAGTAACCTGTTGGCTGTGTTGTGCAGGCCTGCTTTAGTGGCATATGTGTTTGCAACTACAGTTGGCCTTCCACATCTGCGGTTTTGACTTTTGTGGATTTGATTATCTGTGGTTTTAATATGTTCTCTCTAGGAATCTCTAGGTCCTCCGGCACAACTCAGCCGGAAGCTGACCATAGAGTTGTGCTGGAGAACCGAGATCATAAAGAAAATACTTTTCTAGGCATTTGTAAGTCCTCTAGCATGATTCTGATTAACTTCTGGCAGATGTTGACCATAGAGTTCCACTGGAGGACCAGGAGATTCCTACAGAGGTATTATCTCAGGTAAAAATAGCGTACTTTTATTTGCATTTCTTTCACATTCACAGGGGCCCTTCATGCCTAACTTCAGAGAATGTGGAGGGACTGCTGTAAATGCAATTGTATATCCATGCAGAATGCACACCATCATGAGGTTGGACTGAATGCCCCTTGGGGTCTCTTCAAACTCTTATTTTAACTCCACTTCTCCACCTCAAACATTAAGAACTCCCTTGTGCATTGCTACGTGAAGGAATTTATACCCACATATTCCTCATATTGCTATTACCACCAAGGTAATTAAAAACTCCCAGCCACTAAATATCCAAGGAAAGCCAACACAGGATAAAAGGCCATGGGAGTGAGCTACTGTCAGATTGTTATCTCTCAAGTCCAGCCATGGGTGGAGTGATTTATGTATTTTCAAAAGGAGTTTGCACGATTCTTTGTTGGAGACAGTGTGGCTAAGATCCAATTCAAATGTATTAACAATTGAATTTGCAGCCTATGGTGGTAGAGAGAAACCTCCTAATCTCTAGCCAGCATGACCAATGATCAGGGTGTGTCACTAGTTGCTCACCCCTGAGTCCATTAGGGTCAGCATCTATAACCCTCAGAATGTTTGACAACAACTTCCAGCATCATTCAACTTTGGCTATGTTACTAAGATTGATGGGCATTGCAGCCTAACATCAGCTGGAAAGTCACAATTAGGCCATATAAAGCAGCATTCCCAAACGTAACACTCCAGTGGTTTAAGACTGGCTGAATGGAAGACACCAGATTAGGGAAGACTGGCAAAGAATGTGAATTTCACCTAGAGAGGGCAAAATATGGCCCTCCTGTTGGACTGCAGTTCCCATTATCCACAGCCACCATGGACAGAGAGCAATGCAACAATATGTTGAGGTGGAGAGCCAGTGTGGTGCAGTGGTTTGAGTATTGAACTAGGACTGCAGACCAGGGTTTGAATCCCTGCTCAGTAACAGAAACCCACTGAGTGACCTTTCTCTCAGATTTAGAGAAAGAGAATGGCAAACCTACTCTGAATAGGAAACCTCCAAGAAAACACTCTGATGTGGTTGCCATAAGCCAGAATTAACTTGAAGACATGATAACATATTTAGAGGGTGACAAATTGGCCATACCTATGTTAAGAAGTTAAATCTTTCTGTTAAGTCTTTACAACAGCACTTGCTTGGAATTGTTGAGTCTTCCTTCACTCTTAGACACACACATACATAAATAAAAGGCAAGTTTTAAACTGGTGAACCCTTGTTTATTGGAAACATGCCAACTGAGAGATGGCAGGTACATTCCCACTTGACTGGGACACGGCAACTGTGATGGAAGTGGGTTGGTTTCTGTGGGTTCACAGAGGGAGCGCTCACAGGAACTGGAGATACAATCAGCTGCTGCTCTCCCCCAAGGTGTGCTTGTCAAAGAGATATTCTCCAAGCCCACCCTGGGCTGATCCCAGCCGGCGGAGGTTGGTAATGTAGTCACCCAGGACTTTGATGGCTTTGACTTGCTCGTCGAGATAGTGTGTTTCCAAGAAATCACACAGCTGGAAAGAAAAATACAGAAGGCAGAGTGAGATGCTGCAAGCAGAAATCCATGTCTAGTGCAAAGATTGGACAACCCACCAAGGGTACAACTGTAAAAATCATGCAGTTTGACACCACTTTAGCTGCCATGGCTCCATCTTACACAATCCCAGGATTTGTAGTTTTGTGAGGCACCTGTACTCTATGTCTGCAAAGGCTAAAGACCTTGTAGAACTACAAATCCTAGGATTCCCCAGGATTGAGGTGCAGCACTTGAAATGGTGTAAAAAATGCATGATTTCTACAGGATGCACCCAAAGTAATTCTGATTAGAAGCAAATCCACGTTTTCTCCCCAAGCCAGCTTTTCTAGTGCCAGGATCACATTGGGTCAATTGTAATCCAGAAGTTAAAAGATTGTTATAAAAGCCATTGTAGCTTTAGTTGGAGGATCACATGAGCAGCTTTGCAGGGGATACTTTCCTTTTCTTTACATCCTCTCACTCCCAATCTAGACAAGATGATTAGCTCTCCCATAATCCCCCCTCCTGCTTGATTTCCCACAATCCTTTACACAGCTGGTGCTATTGGTTTTGTTTGACTAGGGCACAGTGCCCAGTCATTTCTGCCCAGGATGAAAATACAAGGCATACCTCTATTAACAAAGCCCCTGACAAAGAGCTTCTTTTTTACAATGTCTTTTTATACATGCCTAATTCCCTCTTTCCTCTTGGTCCTCTATCTGGCAAAAACAATTCCCTCACTTCCTGACAACCCACTGGTTCTCCAACCCTGATTTGGACTACAGCAGTGGCTCTTAATCTTCTGCCCACCAGATATTTTAGAACTCTACCTCCCAGAATCCTCTTATCATTGGGCATGGTGGCCAAGGCTTCTGGGAGTTGAAGTCCAAAATATCTAGAAAATTGAAAGTTGAGAACAACTGAAAGAAGTCCACTACTGGCAGAGATGTCTGGAGCATTAACACAACAGTCTAGCAGCATCCATTTTTCTGCAGTCCACT